GTCTTCGACAAGAGCTATGACTTCATTGTCGTCGGTTCAGGATCTGCCGGCGGAGTCGTTGCCCACCGGTTGGCCGAAAACCCGCACATCCACGTCCTGTTGCTGGAGGCGGGCGGTCCGCCCGGCATTCCCAACGATATTCCCATTGAATACGTGACTCTCTTTCAGTCGGAGTACGACTGGAACTACACGGAAGCCAAACAGCCGGTGGGACTGGCCTTCAAAGACGGACGCATTCAGGAGAATAGGGGCAAAGTGTTGGGTGGCTCGTCCTCCATCAACGCCATGATCTACAACAGAGGCAATCGACAGACTTTCGACGACTGGGCGCAAGAGTTCGGGGCCGAGGGCTGGAGTTATAGAGAGGTTTTGCCGTATTTTAAAAAGTGAGTCCTTTTCTGAAGAAGTTAGTGAAGAATGAGTTCAATAGTCTGTGCTTTAGGTCTGAGAACAATACGGATCCGCGAATCGTCGGCGACGGCAGATATCACGGAACCGAAGGCTTGGTTCAGATCACTTCGTGGCCCCAACCCGTGGACCCAATCATCCAAATCCATCAGAACGCTATGCATGAGTTGGGAATCAAGACCACAGACATCAACGGACTCGTTCAGACGGGAACCACTGTCTTGCAGGCCTTCATCGACAGTCGCGGCCGGAGATCGAGTATTGCGAACTGCTATTTAGATCCGAATCCCTTTCCCCGAAACCTGGATATCCTGACGCGCGCTCACGTCACCAAAATCCTGTTCAGCGGACAGACGGCTATTGGCGTCGAATTCGTGAGAAATGGTCTCAAATATACGGTGAAAACGCGTCGCGAAGTCATCGTCAGCGCCGGTAAGGCTCTCCTCTCTCTATCTCTGTCCACGGCTAACAAGTGCTGATCCGAAGGCTCCATCGGATCTCCGCAACTGTTGATGTTGTCGGGAGTGGGTCCGCGTCACGAGTTGCAGAAGTGGGACATTCCTGTGGTGGCGGACCTCCCGGTGGGCGAAAACCTGCAGAACCACCCGGCCCTTAACGTCAACTTCGCCATCAAAGAGCAGTTCCACGATTTGGTTTATAGCGGCGATTCTGAGCTGACTGTTGATAAGCTTTACGAGTACTACACGAACGGCTCGGGAGTGCTCTCCAGATACTACAACTGCTTGACATACCTGTCCACCAAATCCAACGACAACCCCGACTTCCCGAACGTGTCGCTCGAGTTGGCGCTTCTGAAGTACGCGAAAGACCCGTCGCAGGTGACTGTCGTGCAGTTCGAGGCTCAGGACGAGTGGAACGCCTATAACCGCGATCTCCTCGGAAAACCCTATTTCTTCATTCAGCCGATCCTCGAAAGGGTTCGGAGTCGCGGTTTCGTGAGACTCGCGTCCGTCAACCCCTTCGTCTATCCCGTCATAAACTCGCGCTTTCTGTCGGACGCGCAGGACTTCGAGGATATGGTGGACATCACAAAGTTCGCGTTCTATGTCTTCGAGCGCTCGTCTGTCGCGCCGTACGTCCGAAGACATAAACCCGTTCCCGGATGCGAGTTCTGTGCGGGACAGCGCTTCACATACGAGTGCGACGCTTACATCCGGTGTCTCATCCGTCAGGTGACGTACACGGGCTACCATTTGGTGGGCACCTGTCGTATGGGCGCCGACCACCGCCGCGACACTGTCCTCGACCCCCGACTGCGCGTCAAAGGAGTGCACGGACTGCGCGTTTGCGACGCCTCCGTTATGCCGACCGTCACCAACGGCAACACCAACGCCCCGACCATTATGATCGGCGAGAAGTGCGCCGATCTCATCAAAGAGGACAATCAGCTGATCCAACGAAAGGGCATTCACGTCGAGTCCTTCAATGAGTTCAGTCGCTAACTATTTATTGCATTTAATCGCAAATATTGTCTTGAATTTTGTCATAAAAAGCATTATTTATTAAACCATTTATTTATTAAAAGTCTGTTTATATTAAATATCTTTTACTAAAAATAAACATTCATTTAAATCGACTCCAAATCAGGGGTTGTTTTCATTATAAAATATATTATTTGTTTAATTGCTTTAAATCAATAGAAATGTTTGAAGTCTTTGCGCCACAACTCGAGGACAATGTCATCGATATCGGCGTCTTTGTCCTTCAGATGCGAACCGAACGACTCGATGAGCCCCTCGTGAGTGGCCGCGAAGCTCTTGAGTACCACATTGCCGTCGACCAGTTCGGTGGCCGACTCGATGAAGAGTCTGCGCGGCTTCTTGCGCTCCAAAACGATGTCTCGGTATTTGAGGAACGGGTGCTCCAAACGGTCCGACACTTCGCTATAGGCGTCGTACATGCGTTGCGCGGACTCTATGTCTCCCAACGACTTGTAGACCTGGAGTTTGAGCAGAAAGTCGCCGATGGCTTTGCGGCCGACGCTGTGGATCAGCTGCGGGTCGCTCGAGAGGCGAATCAAAAGATCGGGCTTTCCGTCTGTCGGCGACTTCTCGATGTACTCGATGTTCACCAACTCCTTGGAGGCCTCGAGAAGGACGCGGGTGATGACATAACGGGCCTGGGAGTGGGCCTGACCCCACTTCCCAACAGTTGCGTTGTACATCTGGAGGCTCTGAAGACCCCTGAGGTATATATTCGTTTAATTTCCTATAATTCCTCATATAATTAGATTTCACTCACTTCTGAACCATCGAAAGCCAGTTCACGTACACCACGTTCTGCGCCTCTGTCGGGTCCGAGAAGCCGAAGATTCTGTTGTTTTCGGGGAATAATGACAATCATTGCCGAGAGAAAGACACCGAAAGACTCACTTCAAGACTTCGGGGTCGAGACAGAGGTAGAGACCGACGCATTCGGCGCGACATTCCTCGTAAGAACTGCCCAAAGAGGTGAACACCGAGTCATACGTTTCGCCCGTTTTGTACCATTTGTCCACTTTCTCGCCCGTCAACGGATTCNGACTCACTTCAAGACTTCGGGGTCGAGACAGAGGTAGAGACCGACGCATTCGGCGCGACATTCCTCGTAAGAACTGCCCAAAGAGGTGAACACCGAGTCATACGTTTCGCCCGTTTTGTACCATTTGTCCACTTTCTCGCCCGTCAACGGATTCATTGTGTTTTCGACGTCGAAATTGGGATTTTGGTCCGCGATTTGCAACTGTTTTCCGCTTCCGTGACCCAACAGCTCGTGGAGCCCCACCTGAACCTCAAACGAGTCGACGGCGTATTTCTCCAACAGTTTCGCGTCCTCTGCGCCCAAGAAGTTGGGTTTCGGGTCTTTGAACGACGCGGTGATGACGTTTCCGAGCGACACGTTTTTGAAGCCCTCGTCCTGTCGGATCTCCACGTAATTGGGAATATTGATTCCCGCGGGAATTCCTGACCCCGAGAACGTCAACACATCCAAAGACGTGAAGTCGGGCTGAAGGAAGCGGTCCTTCTCGAACTCCTTTGGCCACGGAAGCAGAGGCAGCAGCGATGGCGCCGAATTCACCAAAGATTCAAACTTTTTGGACATCTCTTTGTTGACAATCGAAACGAAGCCTAAGAGAAGACAATCGTTGAGAGAATGGCGGCGAAGAGAAGAGCAGACAAACCCTCAAACTCGGCTCGCATTCCGGCCGGATCTCTGTAGTTCTCGATGAAGCCGATGTACGTCTCGACAATGGGTCCCTTGTCTTTGATCCAGAAGCGAGAGCCGTCTTTGTGTGCTTTGAGGTCTCCGCTCAGGAAGTGATATAAGTATCGGTCAATCATCTGCTTTTCGGTCTCGTTTTGAGCGAAGGTTTTGGCGTCCGATAAGTATTTGTTGAGCAGACGAAGCAAAGGCGAGTAATCGCCGCGACTCAACACAAACTTCGCGCCATTCAACTCATTCTGCTTGAGTTGCAGATAATCCGAGTCCTGTTTGTCTTCGGTGGACAGAATGGACGCGAATCTGATCTCAAAAGTGTTGGTTTGCGAGTCCTTGAAGACGCGGCTGTTGTAGGCATCCATATTCTGCGCAAAAAAGTCTTAGTATTGTCTTATAATTGGTGTCAAAGTCTGCGAACAATTGATTTGAGGAATTGGTTGACGACATCCGAGTCTTCTTTCGTGCAGTTCTTCGAGAAGTAAGTCGTGGTTCCCTTTGGAAGAGAGGAATTGTAGAGTGAATTGAGGGACAGAGAGACCGACCTCTGGAGCGAATCCGAGCGACAGATAGTGTTTGTCGAGAGAATAGAGTCTTTGCTTAACGTTTTGCCAAATG